CTGAAAGGCCTATGAAGCGGTATATAAGTCTACTGCTATTGCTATTGCTATTTCTAGCTGGTGCCTTAACCACTAGACCAAAATTAGTGTTATATAGAGAAGTCCTAATCTGACAACCAAAGGGGGAAGGTTGGGAAGGAAAAGAGAACATAAAAAGCAGCATCGGATTGACAGGCAAATGTTACTGATGGTCAAGAAATGCAAACTAAGAGACCTGACCCTTGGAAAGATATAGGACAGTGATGGTGAACCTTTTCGGCACTGAGTGCCCAAACCAGAATGTGCACATGCAGCTGGCTGGTGCATATGCCTGAAAAACAGCCTGAAAATGGCCCAAAAACTTGGCTGGAAACCGGCCCCAAAATGGCTGTTTTTTGGCCGTTTTGGGGGCATTTTCAGGCCGTTTTTTGGCACTCAGAAAGACCAGCTGGCAACAGTGCACATGCCCTCAGAGAGGGCTCTGCATGCCACCTCTGGCACGTGTGCCATAGGTTCGCCATCACGGATAAAGGATAAGCTCAACCTCAAGAGATATTAAGCCTGAGATGATACTGAGGCTCCAAAACAGAACTACTAGAAAAATACTTAAGAGGCTGGATGGATAAACAGGAGTTAGACAAAATCAAGACTCTATTTAGATGATAGTTAATACTGACAGACAGAATAGGAATTGATGAAACTGTTCAATTGAAACGTTGCCCAGAATGGCTAATGGAGCATCAGCCGCAGAGCCCTGCTAAGATGGGGGAAGGGAAGAGAGAGAGCAGGGCTCTTGGACCAGAAATTATGAAAGGGAAAACAAGTCAGCAGGATGAAGAGTTATGGCATTTGGGGATTTAAATAGGAGGGTGCAATCAAATGGATTTAAGATGGTAGAAAGGGAAACTGAATTGGGCCGTTAACTCAAGGGCAGTTTCAGTGAAGTGAAGGTGATGGAAAATAGAGTCAGAAATTAGACTGCAATGAATTTAGAAGACAGTAGAATTAATTGTTCTTTGTGCTTCGGGAGGAAAAGTGGGATAAATAAATTAATCCCCCTTTAGGTGAGGGCAGCAATTTCTCAAGAGAATGGGAACTTTAATTCCAGAGTCATATCAGGCTGGCAAGGATAAAAAACAACCTCATTTCTATTCTTGAATTTGACTATCAAATCCAACCAAGACCCAAATCTCCCTGAAGTAATATTTCTATCCAGCTTTATTCATCAGAAACAATCTATTCCCCCCGCCAAGGCACAACTGCTATTAATACTTATACATCACATATTTCTGCCGGGCAACAGTATTTTTTTCCCCAACGAAAGAGGTGGCTTCTACAGATTGCACGAAGCAATGTTCTGCAGAACCTTGAAAATATAATC